TCCCCTCCCCTCCCCTCCCCTCCCCTCCCCTCTGATAGGGGACATAAGTGTCATCAAGATAGCAGAAAAAATCTGCTTTACAAGAACCTAAAAATCAGTCAGGACGTATTTCAAAAGCAACACTCGTGCCACATGTATGGGTGACAAGAGCACTTAAAGCAGTGGGGTTTTGGCAAGCTTGGGAGCTGAGACCCTTAAGGCACACGAGCTCATCACTGCTCCTTGCTGCCACAGCTGAGGGCCCACCAGTTTCACATGGATTTTGTTTGCCTTGATCAGACTGCTTCCGAGAGCAAGGCTTCATGCTTTGGCCAATTATRCGCTTTTCCTCAAGGCCAGGCAATGTGGTCACAACTCAGACATCTGGCCACAGACCTGCAGTGATGTGAGAGATGCATTCTCTTTGGAAACAAGAGGAATGTTGAATTTTGGCAATGGAGTGCCTCATCTGAGTTCCTTAAGACCACATAAGCAGTCAGGGAACGGTACTCAGATGTTGCATGACCTTTTCTTTGACCTTTAAGGCAACAATGGAAAAGAAAGGGAATTTTCCACCTGTCCTAACTGGCTCCTGTTGAGCATTCTGCTGTGTCTTTATAGCTCCTTAGGAGACAATCTGTTCCTGAGCACTGTTGTACATAACCACTCACTGAGGATACTCACTACCTCGTGTAGAGCATTTAAATATATTGTACAATTTAGTCTATTTCTAGATAGTGTATATAACAGCTTGTCTTGATGAGACATGGTAAGCAACAGRTAAGAGATAGCAAGGTTAATCTCTAAGTGTAGTTTTCCTGCCTGGAAACTTGGAGCAGAGGACAAGTATTCTTGGTTCCTTGTGTTCCTCACCAGGATGAATTCCCTTCCTCCCTGCAGCAGACTGTCTGTGCTGGGAGCTTACAGATGATGTCACCTCTCTAAAAATCATCCTAAGGCAATACCTTTTGACATACAAAGAACTGTATTGTTCATCTTAATTTGCTTGCTAAATTATGTTTTCTTAATCAAGAAGATCCTCATGGTGGCTTGCATGATCCCTTTAGGATGATTCATTGCAGGTATCATTTGTTTTGGAATCACTCTTAATCCTCTAGTTTAGCAATTAAATAAAAMCAGTACTGGACCCTTCAACTGCATCTCTGCACCTTTGGGTAGCCGGTTTAGGTGTGGTTTCCTTGCCAAATGAATTGTTTTCTATATTGCCTGTGTTACAGAATGAAACAAGAGCAGCTCATTACATCTCATTATCGCTCTCTTAGTCCTCTTGTTTTGTAATTAAATATAAAATGGTATTGCCCAGCCCTGTCGCTGCTTGCCGGCTTGCAAGATGCAGCAAAAGAGAGCATTTGCAGGGGGATTCTCTTGGAGAAAAGCTTCCTCTGTGCTACGTGCCCTTTAGCCTGCACTCAGGTTCAAAGAGTGCAAAAAGCGAGTTCTTGCTCAGAGCACGTTCACTTGTGTACACAGCTTTCCTCAAGTGCCAGCCCTATTCCTGCTTTCAGGYTGGCAAGATGCAGCAAAAGAGAGATTTTATAATCAAAATCTCTCGAAGGAAAGCTTTCTCTCAGGTCTCCCCACCTCCCCCCACGTTATGCTGCATTCRGGCTCCAAGAGTGAGAAAAGCGAGATCTCGCCCAGAAAAGCTTCACCTGACTGGGAGGCTTTCCTGAAACGCCAGACTTACCTTATTTTTCGTAGGGAATTTCCCATCCTTCCACTGGATATCTGCGCCCTTGGGTAGCCAATTTTTGTGTGGTTTCCTTGCTGGCTGAATTGTTTTCTGTACTGGCTGTGCTACAGAAGGAAACTCAGTGACCAAAGCGATAGGTATCTCACGGTAAGCATATGCAGCACTCAGATGCTGTGCATCTAAAAAAGCCAAAAACCACCCCAAAGCCTGCACTGCAGACAAACATTAACATGTGGGGGTGGGGAAGAAAGAGATGTGGAATGGATGAGTGATGTGGCTTCCTGGGTTGTTGGGGTGAGCTGGTGGCCTCCACAAAATGACTTGTTGTGACAAAGTGTGTTGCAGAATGGAGTCCCTCTAGGTTCCCATGTCTGAAATAGCAACTTAAGGTGCTTTTGGCAAGAGGAATGTACGTGCCTGGCCATGCTGCTTTTCTGAGAAATGCTGTGACAAACTGAGTCATGAAAACCAAACACTTCAAACCCCAATGAAGCCTTTGCTACTGAAGCTTTCCAGTGCAGGTTTTTTGTGCTTCTTCATCTTATTTTTGTCCTTTTTTTTTTTTAATTATTACTTTTATCCCGTTTTTATTTCTCTTGAGCTACAAGGAAGAAGGAAAACAGAAGAACCAGAAATGTAATTCTGGGGAATTACAACCAGCAGGGCTGGTTGGCTGGGGAGRAAGCAAGTTTTGGTTCACACATTGTAATTGCAGTATGTTGCTGATAATGAAAAATAAAATCTCTGTAAGACTTCGGGTGTCTGCAGCAATTACATCAAACCTCAGTGGTAAGAAGTGTTGGGCAGTTAACAGGGCATTCTAAGAACACTTTCTTCGGAGCATGTGGGTTTGCAGATAGAGACACCACTACGAGCTCGGTCTCAGCTAAGCAGCCCCCTCCTTTGTTGCTGCTTTGCACTTTGCTTGGCAGCCCAACACCAGATTTCAGCAACAGGAGCTGGAACTTGCAGCTGCCAGCAGTGTGTCAGCAGAGCAAGGGAGTCCAGTTTGGGCAGAGATCACAGATCAYGTACCTCCAACTGTAACACAGCAAGGATACACAGCTGGGTCTGCATACAGACTRCCCTTGTGTCCTCTGATCTGAGCCCTGTGCTCAAACACGACAATTTTTCTGTCACCTTGCCCAAAGGAGCATCACCTGGTCCTGCAGCATCCCTTGGCTTTGCACTGCCACAGCCTGCCCCGATGCAGTGACAGAAGCTGCAGCACATGTTGGTAGATGTAGCTGCTGTCTGTACCTCAGCATGATGCAGCTCTCCAAACTCAGCTGGGATGTAGAGGRATTTGCCATACACAGGCACTATGTAAATGCATTATAAAGTTCCAGGCCTGTTCAACTGCATTTGACAAGCATCTTCCTGACAGTGTAACCTACAACTAGAGCTGAGGAAACAGCCCCCAAAGTGGATTAAACCCTCTCCACTTGTTCTGTTCTCTTCACAGGCAATGTTTTGAGAGGTGGCACTGAATCATTCCAGAAAGGTTGGCAGTTGTCCAGTTAGCCTGGGCTTGGATGGTTGAAAAAACAGTGGTTTAGGCTGGTGGTTGACAAACCAATGTTTTCGACTATAATTGTGCCCAAGTGACTCCCCTTGGCTAATTTTCTGGAAGTTCAACTATGTGAATTATTAATTTTATTAGTCACTTGGTCTGTGGGGAAATGCTGGCATTTCGTGACTGTGCAATTCTTGTATGTTCTTTTTTAAACCTGGAACTAAAGAGAACATCCTGGTGAAGCAGAAAGGAAGAAAATAATATTAATCACTGAGCTTTTCAAGCAGTGATTGCAGAACAACTTCTGCCTCATTTATCCCCAAGCTTTCACTGTCTTTGGAATGTGGCTGAAGCTCAGTCACGGCATGCAGTTCTCAGAAATGAAGATGTTGTGCAACTGAAGGAGAAGAGCTTGGGATCGGACTGAGAGGGAAGGAGAAGGTCTGTAATCCACCAAAGGTCTATGCAAAGATGAACCKAGAAGGAATCCATGCACTTGAAGGTACACTCACAAATTTTAAGCAAGTGGTTGGGTTAATGGATCTCCCATTGTGAGTAAAATGTCATTTTTTTAAGTAATTAATCAACTGCTGATGTTGCCTGGTCCCTGGAGAACAGGGAGAGGTCTGACAGAGATGCTGCAGCAGTCAGATGTGTGTGCAAACACCCACTCATGAAGGCTGCTAGGGAGGTCCCTGCATGCTCAGGAGCTGTCAGAGGAAAGACAGAGCTTGCAAGAGGCAGCGAGCACACAGAGCTCTTTACCACCAGATGTACTGGGTGTAGAGGGGTGCTGTGAACAATTTAAAGCCAACAAATYTCTCTGACCACAGTAGCCATCTCTGTCCCTTGCTAAGACTGAAAGTTTGCTCTTCACTGGAAAGTGTTTCTTTTAGAAGCACACAAGTTTTTAAAGGTTCTGAAAGATTAGAGTGTTTCTGGGAGGAAACAAGATGATTAAAGCTGACAAGAATACTTCTTACATGTCAGCTGGGCTTGCAATTCTAAAATAAAGTGCAGTTCCTGTTATGATCGCTAAGTGGCGACCTCACATTTTAAGAAGGCCAGAGAGCCCTTCCAGAAATTTTGCAGGAAAATGCAGCTATGAATGCAGCTATGAATGAATGCAGCTATGAAAATAAGGAAAGGAAAATAAGATACCTCAAAGGAAAAAGACAATCATGTGAAGCAATTGCATTTTGCAGACTAATGGGAATGAATTACTGAACCTAAAATTATTTAATTAATTATTTGAAGCAAAAGCAGACCATAAAGAAAGGGTTTTTTAGAGAAATACTTATACCTGAACTGTTTCTGTTTTCAGATTAGCTACCACTAAGGAGAGAAAGAACCATCAATGTGAAAGCACATTTGAGAATTTCTTGTGTCACGTTATGGTTTGAGCCTGCTGGCTTCCAACTGATTTGCATAATTCAGGGCTAATTGTGAAGCCATTCAACTGAGCGAAAACATTTTATTTGCAATCACAGTCATTTGGAGTAAGAATTTGCAAAAATGTAAGCCACCTTACCAGAAACCAGAAACATGAAACACAATTTACCATTAGAAGTTTGATTAGCAAATGAAGTTTCACAGTGTGGCTGCCCCTCTGCACCGTGGGTGAGCCACCCACGGAGTCTGGTGGTTTCAGGAGCGTGATCACAGCCCACGCAGAAAGGAGAATGCAGGCATAACAATGACAAGGCAAAAAGGCACAAAAACAATGACTCAGACAAGTTGTGTATGTCATCTCAGGTGATGGTGGAGGGGAAGGGGTGTGCTTGTGGAACGGCAGCCCTGTCTTTCCAAGGAACGGGGCTGGGGAGGAATCACACTCCTGTGGAGATGGGAACAATCTCAACAGAGGAGAGGTGAGAGCAAGGCTCTGCTCTTTCCCTAAGTGTGACCTAGACCCTGAGTCCAGCACTTGGTTTGCTTTGCTCTCCTCAGCCTAGAAAAAGAGCTACATTACAGAAGCATCAGCAGCTCCTGCATCCTCACTGATTTACAGAAAGGGTGCAGACACCTAMCTGGGTCCTCTGAGGCACATGTAGGGCCATTTGCACTACTCATTGCAGCATGGCCTTTCCTGGAACTCACATCAGGGCTAGGGTGGCCTTTCCTTCAGCAACCCACAGACACTGGGTACTCAGCAAGCTTAGAAATCTGTGCTTGCATTGAGACATTTGTGAAAACCCAGCCTTTAGGACAAAGCCCTCATGAAAAACCCAGTACCCCTGTCTGCTCAGCAGCACAGCTGGGAAAACCTRAGTTTCTGGCCCTGACATTTGTTTCATAAAATTCATGTGAGTCTCATAGAGGTAGAAGGTTTTTTATGAGGCACCATTTACTGTAGCTGCAGAAAGGGGAATGCCCTCAAGTCAGAACGGAGTGTATAAAAAAGGGGAAGCAGCGCTCAATGCATCAGTCGGTCAATCCGCTGAGCGCACAGCTGCGATGATGATGGTCACTTGCCTGCTCCTCTCCAGCATTTGGACAGCTGTTCCAGGTAACTCCCCTGTCTATCTGGGTGTCTGTGTCATTATCCCAATGGTGTGAGGGACCTCGGTGGCTGTGCCAGCCTCCTTCTGTGCTGCTGGGTGCTGCAGTCCCCACCTTGCATCCTCCTGGGGAAGCCCAGAGGTGACATGGCACTTGTGGCACTGTACTGCTCACTGGGAGCTTCAGGCATGTCACTGCTGGTTGTAGTGACAGCATCCACTTCCTAATTTACCACCATTTATAAGTTCCAGAGAAATGTATAAATTTATTGCAATGGGCAAATTGTAAAGCAGGCAAACTGTGCTTGTAGGTATTTGCTCAGGCCATCAGAACATGGGTGTATTACACTAGTTTTATATTTAAAAAATCGTGTTGAAAAGGCTGAGTTATTTCAAACCAGGTTCTGTGATCATGGTTTGTAGTGCCTATGGCACTGCTGAGATCTGGAAGGGAGATCTGTCAAGCACAGCTTGACAACTGGCCTCTTGGTGTTTGATGGAAATCTGCCTGCCTATGGTCACAGCCAGAATCTCAGAGCATTTTGTCAGGTGGGTTAGCCTAGTGTGCCTCTGGGCAYGGCAGACAGCCTCGTTTCCCTTTAAAGTCTGCTAAGGTATTTCTCTTTCTTGTAGATTGAATTATGTTTTCAGTGCTGCAACTATTACTGCTGGTATCTCCCTTCCCATTCTGATGTGCACAAATAAACTGTAAAAACTATTGTCCCAAGGGAGCTGTGGAGCTGAGCTATTATCCCAAGAAAACTGTGGAGCTGAGCTATTATCCCAAGAAAACTGTGGGGCTGAGCTGTCAGCTCCATCTTACCTGTACCCTTAACAGTTTTTCAATGTCTGTGAATTGGGGGAGGAGATTGACTGTTTTCTTCTTTTCCCTGGAGATTTTCAATACCATGGCATTTGTGCTGTGAAMGTTTTCTGCTTGTGGGCCTTCAACAGGGTCTCCTCTGCAGCTGCTTCCCAGCTGCATGTCCTCGATGCTGAGATAATAGGATAGATGCAGTTTGCCTCTGGTCCTCCCTACCTTGCTTTTTCCTTCTGTCTTTCTGTTCTTTGCCAGTGTCTGTGAATACACGGTGTATAGTGAGATACATAATAGTGTTTAGCAGTTTTACTAATTAGCTTCACCCTATGCCCCAGGAGGGCTAAGAGGGTGGTATTGGGCCAACAGATAYTTGGTTGTTAGCATGGCTGAAAGTTTAGGGAAGCTCTCTGAGGGTGCCCGTGGGATAGCAGTTCCAGCAGACAGAAATCAGCGGCTCCCAGCACTAGGGCTGCCTTTCTCCGTGGTGCAGCACAGCTATCAGGCTGGTGAGATGCTTGCTGTGAGAGGGGGCAGGCCCAGTGAAACACTCTGGTAGTTCTTTCAAGCTGCATTTTCAATTTTTCCCTGGATGGAGGGATCGAGAAATCCTCCAGAGTTCCTCTGCTCAGAAATGAGGGTGAGGGGCGGCGGAGGCCTCTGCTGGGGTCGGGCTGCAGAAGAGTGTGAGAAATGCTGAGTGTGGCACCTTCTTCTCCCACAGCCTCCGTGMAGGTGACCAACAGGAAGGTCCAGACAGTCCAGGCAGGAGGAAATGTCACTTTTTCATGCCAATCAGTCACGAAGGAAGATGTGATCCAGGTGACGTGGCAGAAGGAGACGGACGGGGCTGAAGACAACATAGCCACATACAGCATGATGAACGGCCCGAAGATTGCTGAGGCCTACGGCAGCCATGTGAGCTTTGCCTACATTGGGTTACAGGCCTCRGCCATCTCCCTTCACGGAGCCACCTTCCAGGATGAAGGATGCTACAAATGCATCTTCAACACATTTCCCTCAGGCGCTGTCACTGGCAGAACGTGTCTCAAGGTTTATGGTAAGGCACTGTAATCGCACACGGGCACTCATCTGAGGACCAAGACATTTTTTCTGGGGAAAAACCTTCCCTAACATTGCTATATAGATGTGGGGGAAACAGTTCAGCTTTCTCCCTGGCTCTTCTCTCCTCTCTGGTTTTACCTCTGATGGGAAGCCAGCTTTTAGCAGTTCTTTAATTTTCTTCCCTTTCAAGTCAGCAGCAGCGAGATTCAAAACTGATGCATAACCCATTACTTCCTCCAAGTTTCCCTGGCCCCCACTGTGCTGTCAGCTGCCTGGCCACAACCATGAACCCCGTGCTCCTCTGCTTCCTTTCATTGCTTCTCTCACCTCCTAATCCTGGAAATCAGGCCCTTTTTAACTTGCTCTGCTTTTGGTTTTTAAAAAATTGTGAAGAATTCCAAAGGCGAAGAGGCACACACATAATCAGGATAGCTGGAAGCTTATTTTGAAGCTAGAGTAAAAATAACTGTAGTTGGGCWGGGATTAGGAAAATTATTTTTTAAATAATTTTTTAAAAAAGAAGGCTGAAACACTGTACAGCTCATGGAATTTGACCTATCAATATCTTGAGCAGGTCAACATCAATTAGCTTAATGAAGAGAGTTGAAATAAATCATGAGTCAAGATAGCAACATCTGTCACCTCCACATGAAATCATCAAATAGCGAGTGCAACCTGAAAAAAAGACAAATAGATTAACTAAAAAAAAAATTTAA